TTTTTTGAGACAGAGTCTCACTCTGCTGCCCAGGCTGGAGTGCAGTGGCATGATTTCGGCTCACTGCAACCTCCGCCTCCTGGGTTCAAGCGCTTCTCCTGCCTCAGCCTCCTGAGTAGCTGGGATTACAGGTGCATGCCACTATGCCTGGGTAATATTTGTGTTTTTAGTATAGACGGGCTTTCACCATGTTGGTCAGGCTGGTCTTGAACTCCTGACCTCGTAATCCACCTGCCTCAGTCTCCCAAAGTGCTGGGATTATAGGCGTGAGCCATAGAAACAGTCCCACATCCTGCTGTCTCCCATAAACACACTATGCATTCAGGGCTTATTATATTTGATATGTTCTATGCTTGCAATTCATTGAGATAAGTTTAATTAACTATCATCTCTCACTCTTCTACATTTTTTTTTAAGCAGACAAGTTAGGACAAACATTTTATCATCAAAATAAACACTTCTGTATAAAAGCATTACAGATCAACAGCTGTATTTACACTTATCGATTCAAGGTCCAATCATGTATCAAACACTGAATGGGTCAGCGATGGTTTACTCATGCAAGTAAATTGGACACACAAACACTTAGATTCCTCCTCTACCAAATCACTTGATTAATGCAAAGAGGCAGGGGAATACCGACACAGGAAACCTGTCCAGAAACGAGACTGGCAGAGATGTCAGGTTAACAAACTGCTGAAAGTTACATCTCCAAAAAGGCACTTCTCATTCTTACAAAAGTGCTTAAAAACTAAACTTGAACCCTGCGCCTAGGTTTATAAATTTTCAAGAAACTGTAAAGAACCACAGGCTAGTTTTTAATATCAAGTTTCCAAGCAAAATTGTCCAAGAATTTATTTGCAGTACCTTACATGTAAACTGAAATAAACCTGGCAAACTAAAATCATACTAAAGTTTTATACCGAAAATTCAAATCGGCCTACTTGTAATTTCCAGATAGCTTTCCTATCACAATTTTAAGTATTACTTGCCCACCAACCTTTGAATCATGATTGTGTAAGCTAGACGCACCACTTACCCTTCGGGCACAAGAAATTAGCAGAAATTAAGTCTCAACTGTGACAACAACTTGTAACATAAACACAATACATGGGTTTGAGAGGCATCTGAAGTAATATACTCCAATCTGCAGTAATCACCTAATTTCTCCACATGGTTTTAAGACTTCTGTGCCTTGATTCTATTAAAAATTTCAACTAGTATGAATGCTAAATCATACTTGTTTTTATGTAAACAAGTTAGAAGGCTGTTCTCTGAAATTCTCTAGTTAATACTATTACTGTGTTTCTAAGTGCTTAGCTTTTATGAGGGCTATTTCAACACCAAGTAAATAAAATACGCTTTCATAAACCTATACTTTAAAAGAAATTACAAAACTAAGCGGCTAGAGAGGACCCCTGGAAATAGAGAGGGATGCTATGAGGTGGAGGTTGGGAGCAGAGAATAAACTGCAGGAAGGCAAAGTGTAACTAGTAATATACCTTCCGTGATGCTCCAGAAACACGTCTACTGAGATTAACTTGATTGGAGTTTCTTAAAAAACAGGCTGATCATCAAGATCCTTGACTCAGGTTTCAGTGAAAAAATTGGAAACTTTAACAAGAAAGATTTGAGAAGAAGGCAGGCCGTGAATTTTCCAGATATTATGCTTGCATTTCAAATTCCTGTTTCAGACTTTTCAATTAGGCATGCACATTCCCAAAGCCATGATATCTGGCTAAATACACAAGGACCCCAGTTGAACACCGTCCATCTCGCTGCCGGCAGAAACTGCAGTTGCAGATTCCTCGACAAGGCGGGCAATGCCAGTTCGGATCCAGCAGAGCATCCTTGACCTCTTCACCATAACGGTTTCGAATGCAGGGGCCACAGAGCTGTCCTCAAACGCCACAGCAGTCTGGGTTTCTGCAGTTTGTTTTGGTATCAATAGTCTTCTGACGGCACTGATGACAAGTAGAGCCCAGTGAACATTATATATATATATCTTCTCTGGAGAGTTGCTGCAGATGTGCTCCAAATCTTCCTCTGTAATTTCTTCCACTGGGCGAATTATATGCGGAAGGGTCAGGGATGACCTGGAGCGACGACTTCTGGGCATGTCATCTTCATTCATGTAGCTGTCCATGGTCTTCCTCTTTCTCACCAACATGTACTTATCCTCTTCCTCCTCCTCCATGGGTAGGGTGTCAACGGACCCGAGGATCTGGGACCTTGACCTGGTAAGAGGACGAGCTCTCCGTTCAGGGTTTCTCCTGGACGCAACACCCGGGAATGTATGCCTTCGAGGCCTCCTCGATTGTGAGTTGGGGCCTGGGAGGGAATGTCTTCCAGGGAACGAGCCAGGGAGGCTTTCTAATTCAGACATGAGTTTTGCAAGCATTGCTTTGTTTTGCTTTATATTTAAAGCCCTTTTCTCCAAAAAAATTCATCCCACTTTCATCTTCTGAATCGGAGTTGGAATCAGTCACAGAATTCTCGGAGAACTGTGGGAGCTCTGCTTTTTTGTTGGTTGCTCCTCTGGTACTTCGAGCTGGAAACTTCATCGCCACCCTGAGAGGTCCAGAGTGCCTGCGCTGGCTGCGGGTCCTACAGCCTTCCCGAACTGACTGCAGCGTCGTGTTTGCAAAATTATCAGAAGCAAAGCTGTCACAACTGTCATCAGAGGATGATGAGGTTTCAATGGAAATCAACTTCACATATCTGAATTTCTTTAAGTTCTTTACTCTGAGATCTTTCTGCGGCACGCGGCGAGCACCCATGCTGGTGGCGGGTGCCCAGACCCGTACTTGGAGCTGGGAGAGCGAAGCAGCTGCGCGCGCTCTGAGGTCCCACAGCAGGAGGAACAGCAGCCGCGCGACCGGCACGCGCCGGCCCCACTTTTCTACATTTTTACGTTTACTATTACTTACTTTGATTCACCCAGCAGTCTCTATTACATATTTTGCTTTCCATTAAGATTCTTCACGGATATAAATTTTTTATAAATAGAATTTATGTCTAACCATTTTAAACTTAAATATACATGACGGCGTCGTGTGTATGTATTCTAGATTCTTTGTTACCTTCTTTGCTCTCTTTGTTTTCTGGCAGCTGTGACTGGCACATGTCATGGACAGTATTATTCCCTGACAGAAGTACAACTCCAATGTTCATCTTTTCTTGTTCTATTAATAAAAAACAGACTTACAAGATTTACAAAAAGTCATAATAAATATACTTTAAAAACTATTTTAATTATAATGAGATAGTCTTTCCTGAATCTACCACTATATTCAGAATTTACTTTCAAATACTTGGATAAACTTCACACATTTATACGCAAAATGACAGCCTTAAGGGACCTAATTGTTCCCATATAAAAAGAGGATTAGTCTAGGACCACATCAGATCCAAAGAGCACGCAGTACCATGAGACAGGAAAGGAATATATAACAAAAATATTTTCCTTTTTTCTTTTTTTTTTGTATGAAAACAACAACTTTTTTTTTTTAATTATTATACTTTAAGTTCTGGGGTACACGTGCAGATCATGCAGGTTTGTTACTGCTACACAGGTATACATGTGCCATGGTGGTTTGCTGCATCCATCCCTCTGTCATCTACATTAGGTATTTCTCCTGTTATTCCTCCCCTATCCTCCCACCCCCTGCTATCCTTTCCCACTGCCCCCCCCACCTCCCAACAGGCCCTGGTGTGTGATGTTCCCCTCCCTGTGTCCATGCCCTCTCACTGTTCAACACCCACTTACGAGTGAGAACATGAGGTGTTTGGTTTTCTGTTCTTGTGTCAGTTTGCTGAGGATGACGGTTTCCAGCTTCATCCACATCCCTGCAAAGGACACGTACTCATCCTTTTTTATGGATGCATAGTATTCCACGGCATATATGTGCCACATTTTCTTTATCCAATCTATCATTAATGGGCATTTGGGTTGGTTCCAAGTCTTTGCTATTGTGAACTGTGCTGCAATAAACATATGTGTGCATGTGTCTTTATAATTCAATGTTTTATAATCCTTTGGGTATATACCAGTTATGGGATTGATTACTGGGTCAAATGGTATTCCTAGGTCTAGATCCTTGAAGAATCACTACACTGTCTTCCGAAATGGTTGAACTAATTTACATTCCCACCAACAGTGTAAAAGTGTTCTTATTTCTCCACATCCTCTCCAACATCTGTTGTCTCCTGATTTCTTAATGATTGCCATTCTAACTGGCGTGAGATGGTATCTTAATGTGGTTTTGATTTGCATTTCTCTAATGACCAGTGATGATGAGCTTTTTTTCATATGTTTTTTTCTATATAAACAAAATTGTTGGGATTTAAATTTTTTAAGACAAGTGAAAGCAAAAAAGCAAAAAAACACAGAAGTGAAACTTTAAAGGCCATTTCATCATCAAGTGCCCATTTATCCACAATCATATTCAAACCACATATGTATGTGGTTTAAAATGTTGGCTCTAAATTGTGATCTGAGAATCCCTGGAGTTCAAGATCCAGGCAGGGGGTCAAATAATACAAAATGTTATTTGCCATTTTCACTCTCATTCTCTTTCAAGTGTACAGTGGAGCTTTTCATAGACATGATGTGTCCTAACTGCATAGCTCTAATGGTGAATGGGTCATAGTTCTAATGTCTATTGGAATGTATGGTTGTGCATCCTTTTTTAAAATATTTTAGTTTTTATTTCTAAAATATTAAATATCAATAGATACAACCAACTTAAAAGCTCTTTGGAATCTGCAATCATTTTTAAAATGCAATCATTTTATTTATTTATCATTACAAAGAAGGTTTAACTGAGATCCGGTAATTTGATAGAAAACCAGAGCTTCCTGTGTCAATAAGGACTGACCTCAATAATGTAATGTGATCAGACAAAAGAAAGTTGCAAAATATGTAGAGTGTACAACAATTTATATACACTTTTAGGACATAAAAACAAATTCTACATATTATTTATGACCATACACATATGTAATAAAATGTTTTAAAAGAGAATGGAAATGATAAATGGAAATAATAATTCAGGGTGTCAGTTACCTCTAGGCAATAGATACCCTCCCCCCCAACACACACACACACACACACACACACACACACGGTCTGCTACCCAGAATTTCTGAATGGCTTAAAACCATCAGTATAGCCACACTACGATGAAATAATTAAAGCACAGCTCACATGCTGGCAAGTAAAGTTTGTCTTATCTGATAAGTTTTGNAAATAATAATTCAGGGTGTCAGTTACCTCTAGGCAAACATACACCGTCCCACACCCATAAACACACAGACACACACACACACACACACACACACACACACACACACACACACACACACACACACGGTCTGCTAACCAGAATATCTGACTGGCTTAAAATCATCAGTATAGCCACACTACGATGAAATAATTAAAGCACAGCTCACATGCTGGCAAGTAAAGTTTGTCTTATCTGATAAGTTTTGGTGCTACACATTGACCTTACATTCTTTCCACCTTCCTAATACCCCACTCTTCCTTTTTCTGAGGTATTGTCTCATTTTACCACCCTCCATCATATGCACCTGCTTCTTTTCCCTTCATTTGCTCCCTACACTCTCTGCCTTCCTCGTTCTTTATTCCCCCTTTTACTCTTATCCTCTTCCTTCTAATCTGACATTGCATATCTAGGGTTCAATACCATCCACAGTTCCAGGCACACACACGGGGGCTCGGAGAACATACCCCACGGAGAAAAGGGCGAAAAACTACATTTTGTTGTGTCACAACCTAACTTCTCCAGATCTTCAGTTAAAACTGTTCAGTTTAGGAAAAAACACCCTAGCACAAGGAAGCTAGGTTTATGGGTACTGTGCTATGTCATATGGCAAAACATAGGAAACAGACCAGGGACAAGGATCTTTGCAAAGACTTTTTACTGCCAGTAGAGAAGAACTCAAGGGAGATCAGTGTATTCACTCTCACTAATCCTCTTCTGGGGCAGATGCTGGTTATATTTACTTACTTCTAGCTATTTTCTCTAGCACAAACAAGGCTCAAATTCACTCCCATTTTACCTCCCATGGAAAGAACCACAGGAAAAACCACTCCCTTAAAGAGCTTATTCACTCTGAGCCATACCACTCATTCAGAGAGAAGCTCAAGAAGAAACACTACCACAGCGGTGGCAGGTTGCCAGGGAGTGCGATCTGATATGAAAAATACATACGAACACAACTATCAACTCACTCAAACTACCAGAATGTGCCAACAGTTGTTGCTCTCGCTGGCAAAAACAAAATTATTTTTCAGTTCTTGTAAAGCAAAACACTGGCATTTCCTATGACAGGGAATCTAACTGTGGATGAGCCATGTTATAATAATATAGACTGTTTTCAAACTCATCCCTAAAAGGAAGAGAATCAGTGAGGAACGTATTTATTTTCACCCGTCATATTCACTGCCTGGTCTTCTTAAATGCAAGGTAAGTATGCAAGACTTAGTGATTCCAGTTTTATAAAGTCCAGCTCTTGAGATTATCCCATCCCATTGCTAGAGTCAACTGGACCCATCTCCTGCTGTGGAGTACTGCATGATGCCATTTTTCCCCTCTCTCCCCCATTACATGGCAAATGTCTATAGAAATCACGCTTTCTCAGCACGTCAAGTCATATGTCATCAGATCCTATGCTGATGAACAAGACATGAGGAAAACAAAGGCAAGGACAAAGAACATCTAAAATGACAGAATGAAATTACCATGGAACTTTATTTTTTAAATGTTCAAAAAGATAACCACTCTTTCATTCCAACCATATGACAAGTCTGGAAAAAGCAAAACCGTGGAGACACCAAAAAGACCAATGGTTGCCAGAAGCCAGCGGAGAGGAAGAGATGAAAAGGCAGAGGATGGAGGATATTTAGGGCTGAGAAACTATTTTGTTTATGATGCTACAAGGATATATACATGCCATTACACATTTGTCCAACAGCAGAGAATTTACAACACCAAGAGTGAACCCTAACATAAACCGTGGACCTTGGGGGTGATGTGTCTGTCCAAGTAGGTTCCTCAACTGTAACTCTGATGAACTCTGATGGGGGTACTGATAATGAGGGAGGCTACTCATATGTCTGGGGTCATGGGGAATATGGAAAATCTCTGTACCTTCCCAATTTTGCTGTGAATCTAAGACTGCTTGGAAAATAATGTTATGAATTTTAAAAAACATACAGAACTTGCTATTACCCTAAATCATAAAAAGACAATTTTCACCTTGAAAACTGTGAATCACTAAAGATCAAGGTAACAGAATATGAGTATAAGCTCCCAAATTGAAGTATATAAAAACACATAAAGCAATTAATTTAACTGCATAGGCAAAAAAAAAAATGATAAAAATGATTGAATATCTAATCATTATTTCATAATTATAAACAGGGATTTAATACAATAAGAATCAAAACTGGTACATCCATGTACATAAAATGAAAGACAATTTTTATTCTAATTTTAAATCAGAACTTATTATGCCCATTTTATCCACAATTTTACTGAAAGTTTAATCAGATTAGGACAGATTATAATTACTTAATATTGCCATAGTAACTTATGTACAAATACCTGTTAAGTATTCACCAGATGTAAAAACTGTAAGTAGCATTGCTACTTAATATGAATGATGCAACTGAAACCAGTACCATGTTATGGTCTATCATTCTATTATTTGCTATCATATTACATCAGATTTTATGATAACACCAAAAATTTAGTCAGGGCCATAGCTGCTGGGCAGCAAGGATTTCATATAGCAGGCACGAGACAGCCATCCTTAGAAAGACTTGCTTGCAAGGCTGGTTCTTGACTGGTGTTCAGGACCTTGAATTTGGAAGGGCTCCCACCATTCCCTAACTTAGAAGAAGGGAATGGCTCACCGTGCCTAAACTGTTTGTGCAAATGCAAATGTGGTTTACTATGAACAGTTCATTTCCTCCTAGGACTCTGGAATTTTGGTACATGTGAAGGAGAGGAGAGGATGCCTATGTGACTAGCCTCCATCTAAAACATGGGTGCTGAGCCTCTAAAGAAACTCTGGTAAGGTAGACAACATTGTACATATGTTTTCAAAATTTGAGGCTGGGGGAATTAAGCACATCCTGGTAACTACACAGGAGATG